GTTCGATTCCCGGGCCGGGAGAAATATTTGTATGACCTACATTTATTCCTCTCGTGAGTTTGGGTGTAATTTGTGGTTGTGTATGTGTGTGTCCATGGCACCCGCGACACAGGGTTTCCCTAGTGCGGGGCTATGTTGAGTGTGTGCGTTATTATGTTGAGTGTGTGCGTTATATATAAATTAAATACTATAAAACTGTACAAAAAACCATTTTTAAATGACAACTATGATAACACAATATATTTGTTTAGTGAAAATATGATACAAAATCCTGTTTTCACAATTTACTGAAGTAATTTTACAAGTTATATAATTTTATAAGTAATATTTGTACTGCATATATTGGTACTGCATGATTGACAACCGCGCTGTCACTCGAACAAACGGACACTATTGCGCGGTTGACGCTCTGTATGCGATTTTAACGCCCTACAGGTGCGGACACTTTTTAGCGCGAACTCGACGTCCATTTATTGGTAGGTCAATGGTTTCAAAGGTGAATTTCTAAATGTTACAACTTGAACAAGTTTGTTTCGTTTTTATGTTGATCTTACTCACGTCATTTTATGTCAGTTGTTATTTTTATATATTCAGACGATTATTTGTCATTCCACCTGTCGGACCTGGTGCGTATGGCGTTTGTGGGTGCGACTGGTGAGTCGGATGCGCTACGCCTTTGCGGTCTGCGCACGTTGCAAATGATCATTCAGCAGTATGCGCGCGCGCCCGAGCCAGACTTTCCCGGACATCTCTTACTTGAACAATATCAAGCACAAGTGAGTGGTAAAGCTTGAATTTCGCAATGCGTTTCATATTTATTAATGACATTTGGAAAATTTACATACGCTATATGACATAGCTTTGAATTATTGGTTCTTATTGCTTTTATTAACTCCTCTAATTCATTGGTTTTGGCTTTTGGTGAAATTACAGTGCCCCTCAGATCTTTGCGATTTATAACTCTGAGGACACTGCAATTGTTATGGACAGGCTTGTAGCTTACCATCAGCCGCACGACTTGTTTGTCCCGTCACTTGATATTATATGAAGAAATTCCAGGTTGATAAATCGAGTTATTTGAAAGCAGTAGTGTTATTTTAATCATCGTTTGCTCTTTTGAATCCTACGTGAATTTTGAAATGACGTTAGAGCATGATAAAGTTGAAAATCTTCATACGGTTTTCAGTAGCGTTTCGATTTACCATTTTCATTTTGTGTCATATTAAAAGGTTGGTGCAGCAGTTCGACCGGCATTCTCCGGCGACACGGCTTCTCACGTAACGGCTGCCGCTTGTGACGTCTGCTCTGCATGGATCGCGCGCGGCGTTGCCAGGGATATTAATGACTTGAGAAGGTATACAAGCTATAATTATATAGTCTATACTTAAATTGTAAACGATTGTAAACTTTTCTAAAAAACTCCTTAAAATTTAATTATTTCTTTATTTCCACTTTAACGAACAAAATATTAAGCCACTTGCAAGAAGACAAGAAGTTTAGCGCGAACATAAGATACACATATTATTTATTACATTAGGGATTAAAGTGTGAAATTATCGTTCTAAAGTTCTAGTCTTTTGAAAATGAAATAGTCTTTTTAGTGTAAGATTCATATTACAAACTCTTTTCAAATAAAATGTTAAGGCTGCTAAATGTTAATTTTTGTCGTTAACATTTGTTTTGCATTCGCTTTAAGTTCTAAGATGGGTACTTCAAAAACTACTGTACTTTTTTATACGGGAAACAACTCGTCGAAATCCTCGAAATGGTCATGACTGTATAGAGCGAACACGGCTAACGAATTTACTACTTGTTTCGAAAGTAGACATTTTTGTGAGCGTCATGGAACAGTAGTCACAGAATTTAAGGTATATATAGGACTATTTCTATACTAATAACTATTGATTAGTTGCAAGCTATTATTGTTGAAGTCGATCCATCGCAAACTACTGTAAAACTGTGGAATTACCTGCAATAACTACCACAATACATAAATGACCCATTTGCGACAAATCAGTAAAATAAAACTAGAAAAATGGGTACACGAGTTGCCCAAATTAGAACGGGTAATATGCGCAGGCAAATGCCAATAATCCGACATAGGGATGGAGCAGTCATAGACAGTAATTACTTTTGAAGAAAAATCATTTATTGTGATAATCGCAATCAACGAAGTGGCAACAATTATACCTATAATTATACCTGGCAACAAGTCACAATATTGTCCAAAACATGAAGTTTCCCACCGAAAATTATTGGTAACTCTTCGTAGTCTACAGTACTTTCCTTGAACCGGCTACAATCATGATAGCTGACAAATATTGTAAAAAAAGTGGACAACCATATTGTGTCGACTGATTTTCATCGAAACTTCCAAACCGTAACGCCAGACTATAATGACTAACAAACCTCCACCTTAGAGATTTGTGGATTTAAATTTTTCACTACTTTGCACACTCACCTGATTTAGATCTACCGACCAACATTTTTTTAGCAATTTTGTTGATTACGCGGGTAATAATTTAGTTTATAAGCAGTCGAAAATAAGTTCCAAGACTATGTGGGTTCCCGTTGCGCACTGTTCTGTCGTAAAGAATTCAGCATGATGGTAGAAGTGTATTACTAGCATGGGTACATCATTTTTTCTAAAACATTTTTATGTTTCAATTCTCCTGCATAGAATGGCAGTTTCATATTTGAACTCCTATTATTATGCATTGTGTATTTCATATGTCATGCTAAACTACTTTTGTTGTGTTATGTTATGAAATTTTATAAAACTGTTTGTGGAAGACGCTGATACCTTAATTTCTATGTTTTTTCACGTCTTGTTATAGAGTGCACCAACTGCTGGTCTCCAGTCTCGACAAATTGAACACGAAGGGCAACACTACACTGATCTACAACGAGAGCATGGCTACTTTGGAGAAACTGTCTATCTTGAAGGCTTGGGCTGAAGTAATATTTGTTTTTATAAACATTTGCTATAGTTTTTCGTTGTTTAATTAGACGAGGTATTGGTTAAGGAACAATTGATCAATAAAAAATAAGTGAGATCTTTATTCGTATATTGAGTGTTCAAAAATATACATGACATAACATTGACTGCGAATAGCGATTGACACGGTCATCTTTCAGAGAAATGACGATTACAAGAATCGTGAAGTTGATGAATTATTTCATTTATTTGTCATCGCTCAGGTTGACTGAAAATTACCTATTTGAGGTCTACTGGATCTACCTTTGTATCTAAACATTTTGTTTCATGTAATTTGAGTGAGTGTGTATGAAATAAAGAATATATGAAACCTATTTCCGTTCATTCAGGTATACATAGTCGCTATGGTAAGCAACAACAGTGCCCCTGGTAGTTATGTGAAGCAACTAGATAGTAAACCCTTCAACAACCGCGCGGAATTGGCCCGATGGCGCAACGAGATGCATCAACACCACGAAAATCCTTTGGACAATCATGAGGTCGAAGATGACGAGTATGGAGAGTTCGAATCAAAAGGAGAGAGCCTGTTGAAGCTTGTCGAACCGGAATTGGAAAGTCTCGGCGAGAATTGGATTGCTGCGCTGAAGGATCATGCTTTGTTGAGTTTGCCACCAGGTACGGTACCGTATACGCAATTGGATGGCCAGATAATGCAGCACGGTGGTCTAGGATAGGATTGCAGCATTACTGAAATTTCATAATTTTATTTTTATCATGTAACATGTGCAGTCTCCGGCCAGTCAGGAGGGTAGACGATTCAATTGGACGGGGAGTGTGCAAGTTGGAAAGCTTGAGTGAATTGTGAGAGGTATTTTTCTGCAGTGGGATAAAATGTAGCTAATTTTGATGCACCACTATCAGCGTTACTGACAGTTATGTTCTTGACAGTTACTGAATGTAGTTAGGCTAAAGGGTAGACGCCTTCATAAGTGTTGAAATTCTTAGAACCAACGTGTACATTGGACGTTGTAAAGAGCTTTAATAATAATAAAAAACGTAAAACGTAACGTAACTTATAATTTGCAAAAAATTATATATGTCTGATTCGTCCTTTCATTTTTTTCCAAGCTTTAACTTATTAAACTTAAATTAGTCTTCTTTAGAATATATTTGAGTTAAAAAGAGGTAGACCTCAGCCTTAGCCTATAATTTTAGGATATTGTAAATTGAATAAATATTTTTAGTTTATATTTCTATAAAACATTACAATGTTTAGAGTTTGCATCGCAACTCCCTCATGGTGGAGGTGCGTTCTACTCAGCGGAGACAGCTGAAGCGTCGCGTGCGCACTACGCCGAAGCTTGGCCGTCTCTGCTCTACGCCGCTTGCCTTCGTTTCAACGCCAACATTGACTTCGTGCCAAAGAGTGGTTAGTTAGTATATAACTATCCAAAACGAAAGCGTATGTGAACATCACATCGCGTGGTTTTGTACGTGTAACTCTACACGTATCTTCTTTCTGTAATTTACTTTTTCTTATTTGAAATCCATATTTATATTGTTTGAGTGTTAGTGCGAAGTATTTTTCTTATATTTCTTAAAGAGGCTTTGTGCTCATCATTATGAACCATTACACGTTACATCCCAGCACGGATGTCATCTAAAGATAGGGTTTAGTTAGACCATTTGTAGCCGCACTGGCCCAATATGGGTTGGGGAGTTCACATTTTACCGCGGGTTGCGGAGGTTTCATCGTGATGCTCGATGTTTCCTTTCGTGGTCATTGAGAGGTATTGTTAGTAGATACGTACAAATAAATAAATAACGCACGCACTCATAGCCCTGCACTGGGGAAACCCTGTATCGCGGGTGCCATGGACATACACATAGACAAACGTAAATTACACCCAAACTCACGAGAGAAATAAATAGGCCATACAAATATTTATCCTGGCCTGGGAATCGAACCCGGGACCTCTGCGTGGCAGTCCAGGTGGTAACCGTTCGACCACAGTGCCAGTTATGTAAATTTACACAATTTTGAAATTAAAGTCATACGTACGTGAGGCCAGAGGGATTTGAACCGTCAATCTGTCAATTAAGAAGTCAGTTTTCCACTGGGCCACCATCGCTTGGCTTTATGTTTACTGCTATTAAACATTTTCAGACGGTGAACGTGTGGATAATAGAACGACTAAGACTGAAAATGGAAACTTTGAGTTTTTCGAGCCAGTCGATGAAAGGTTCCATTTATTGTTTGGTAAGTTGAAAACATTTTGTAGAGCTTGTTCCTTATCATTGACCTACCAACAAATGAACGTGCGTCGGGTCTAATACCAAAACCACGAAAAAAATGTCCGAAGTTAACCTATTGACATGTAACGAAATTTAATAAAACTAGAACTTTTAATTTAAATTGTAACGTCATGGTAGCACTGCCTAATTTTGCTTGCAATAATTTAAGGGCCCATTATCACCATATTCAGCTTCTACCGGAAACTTAACAAAATGCACCATATTTAGCTTCGACTGAAAATTACTTGAACTCAAGAGTAATGTAAGCCTTTATTGTAAATATTAATTAATTTTTATATGTATTATTCTGTCCAATTTTGTATAAATTCACTTAAAGAAATAATATAATGTTGGGCAGATGCATACAAATATTACAAATCGACTGTGAATGGCAACCGGTACTATCTCAATTTTGACAACATTACAATGATTTTACAGGTGAGGAAAAAAGAAATTGTTTGCATCATTTATATACCATCTGGGTTATTAAATAAAAATGCGTAGTGTATGTGTAATAAAATTATTTAAAAACTGCGTATTTTATTAATATATATCAAAGCGACTCTATAGTTTCTTTGTTCTAAATATTTTAATAGTTTGTGGTTCGAACAATTGAAAATGACGAAGAAGTTTATATAAGCTTCTTGAAATTGACATAATGGGTCTCTTCCCATCTGTTGCGCATGCAATGTGTAGAAAAAGGACAGTTAACTATATGATTATTTTCTTTGCTTTTGTAATTTATATTTACGATTCATTTCAATATAAATTAAATACTATACAACTGTACAAACCAGTTTTTTTACATGATAACTATGATAACACAATATATTTGTTTAGTGAAAATATTATACAAAATCCTGTTTTTACACTTTACTGCAGTCATTTTTACAGGTTATTATTATGTAGTACTGCATGATTGGCAACCGCGCTGTCAGTCGAACAAACGAAGACTTGCGCGATTGACGCTCTGTATGCTATTTTAATGCCCTATAACTGTGGACACTTTTTAGCGCGAACCCAATGTCCATTTGTTGGTAGGTCAATATTCCTTATGGTTTATTTTATTAACAAGTGCGTTGTTGTTATCTCATTTTAATAAGGCAAAATGTATATTTATAATTCGTCATGCAAATGTTGTGTTGTAATAAGAAGTTCATTTTTCATTCAAGTTCGTTCATTCAAGAAGAACATTTTTAATGTGCTTGGATAAAATTGTAAATTTTGTCTGCGGAAAAATGGTTAAACGTTCATCGTGCTGACTTATTAATAAATGCTGACACGTTAATTTCGACTCTCACTGGGCACTGACTTTTCACGTCCATATTGGTATGGTCAGTAGAAGTAATTATTTAAATTCCGCAACACGCCTGAGTTTATGTGTAACTTCAAACCTTTAACATTAAGGGTGAAATGAAGTACATTTTGAAAGTAATTGTTGTTTTCAGGCATCTGCATGGAAGCTCTTTGTGCGCAGCGCGACATGAGCGTGGAGAATATAATCTTCGTACTTCTGTCATTGGTCACTATCCTTGACGCGCCCGGGAACAGAGCTAGACTTCTTAAAGATCGGTAAGTATTCGGTTTTAAGGAGTCTTGAATTCATATATATCACAGTGTTTACTATCATTCATTAATAATAATAATAAAAAGTTTTGTTGCCGCAATAACGGTACAAAAGCATAATGTATAAGAATCTTATGTAGAGGTCTGAGGCAAAAGGCAATGGCTCAGCTTTTTATTGGCTCTGCTCCGTAAGTCTTGCTCTACATTGGTTTTCAGCCATTCCCTCTTTCCCTGTGATCTAGAACGAGACATACTGTAATAGGACGAGGTATAGCAATTATAAATAAAACTTATGTACAATACTAAACAATATCAAATAAAAAAAGTCGTATATGTTAGTGGCATGTGTATGTGTGCATGTATGTGTTTTTGTGTGTTTCTCTCTGTGTGTATACACACACAGAGAGAAACATACAACTCTCATACTCATAAAACTCATACAACACATCACACACACATACGTGTGTGTGATGTGTTGTATGAGTGTTTATATTAAAGTAGAATAATATGCACAATTTTAGCTTTATCAAATAACCTTATTTTTTTTATAATATCAAGTGGTGTATAATATAAATTTTTGGCATTTTGCTCATCAATGGCGAGCCGGTGGCACGCTGATGACGTAGTGTATTGATTTTATATATCGCACTGCTATTATAATAGTGTTATAACTCGAAATATGTGAAATTCAATATTATACCATTGTTGAAATAAAAATTTGATTCTCTACACGTTAATAAAGGCAACGTTAGAATATTGTAGAAAACAACTAAAATATATCTACTTAACAACTTAACTCCAAATGCGACACGCTTTATGTGTTAAAATTAATCACAAAAAGTATAGGATGTTATATTCTGCCACAGTCGCCAAAATACAATTCAATTAAATAATACATTTATTTAAATGAAAACGATGATTCCACAGGACTCTTGCCATAGAATTGTGTCAGATCATCCACCGCACGGCACTCACTCAGGAAAGCATTGAAGCGTTGCTGTTAGCAGTCGACGTATTGAAGCTCGTCGTCGACGGGGCTAGGGAACAGCTACATAGCAACATGCAAGCAAAGATCAAAGGTAATAGTGAAGTAACTTATTCAAGTAATATGCTACAATATACTAGTACACCAGTTTTAATATTAGAGCCACAATTACATTACGTCGAAGGTAAAATGTCAATTAATCAAATTACAGAACACTATTAGTATCGTAACATTTGATACAACGTCATTAACATCATTAGTATTTTCAAATTATGTTGATTTCAGAGCTATTTATGTGCATTTGATCAGAATGAGAGTTGAACAATGTTTTGAACGGATGTGAAAAATACACGCCGTTCTTTTTTTCTACATACAGTTTTGCTTTGAGTAAAATAACCGGCAATGGCACAGAAGCGATATTTAGCGATGGAATTACCGAATTACTCCATGCAAAATGCATTTGACGTTATCGTTCTCGAAATGGCGTAATAAACAGAGTACGTGTCTGCAACAATTGATGTAGTTAATGCTTAAATCATATGTCAAGATGGAAATATTTCTGATGATGAATTACGTCATTGGAAGCTAAAAGAGACCAATTTATTACAGAATTAGCACCTAACGAGGCCTCTGAAGGCATACCCCAATCAGTCCTTGAAGTGGTTCACACGCTAGGCGAAGGCGGTCCTACAGGGGACCTTCCTCCCGGGAAATCGATCGTGTTCGCCTGTCTTGAAGTGTGCTTATGCCTGCTGGTCCGCCGATTGCCGGCCCTGAGCCCTCTGAAGCAGGAGGGCACTGTCGGAATAATCGGCGTGCCCAAAGGACTCGGCATACATGGAGACACATTACTTGTCAAGACGTTAGCCGCTATGTCTGAGTTGCCTTCGCTTACCAGTCCTCAAGGTAAAGAAAAAAGTATTTTAAGGCATTTATGTAACTTTAATTCTTTTTCTCTGTTACTGTAACAAAATAGTGTTGCTCTTTGAATTTCATAAATAATTGTGTAATTTCTATTGTAAAAATTAGTGTATCTACGTAATTATATTGGTAAGAATGATTTAGTAATACCGTGATACATTACAGGTGCCCTGTCTTTGTTGCCAACTATTCTATTTTTGGCAACTGAAGTACTAAAAGAAAGTAAAAGCGACGCAGTGTTATCCGAAGCGGGTATTTTACTACTGCAACGCGCAGCGGAGTGCAGAGCAGTCAGGGTACACGAGGAGACCAACACCCAGCACGCGCAGTTACTTCAGACCACTCTTGCGAAGATCGTCGACAGAGTTAAGAGCGGTTCGTATTATTATATTATTGTCTACGTATTAAGTCTCACTACTTTTAGGAAACCGAATCAAAATTTCATGGGAAACAGATCGATTTGTTTTGTGGTATATCGGAGGATAAACTTTTTGTGAAGCGGTTTCGTGTACGTTCAGCTACTTACAGTTCTTAAGCATCACTCATTTTTGTGTACCTTTTTCAATTATTTATAGTTTTCTTGTAGCTTTCAAATTAACAGCTCGTCGTCATGTGAAATATGTTCCATATAGATGAGCCAGAGCAGCGTATAGACGCGGTAGTGGGAGCGCGAGGCATGGCGGTAGTGCTCAACCGCGCTACGCCTGCCGCGACGTTGCACTACCCTTGTATCAACCACTTCCGCCGATGTTTAGAAACGAATGACAACGAGGTAACTTGTCTTGATACTACAGAACGCTTTGAAGATTCCTTACTTTTGAATGCAGGTTCTGTATGTTAGTAATAAATTATAAAAATCTGGATTACATAAAATAAAATAAAGCAAACTGAGCAAAGATTCTGTTATATTGATAGAAATTATTATACATTTTGTTACGATTGTTTGTGTTTTAACATTTCATTTATCAAAAACGATTTTATGTATTTGTGAATATTCATCTATTTATGAACGTGTTCAAGTCTACCTTGGAGTTTGGTTAGAAATATGACAAAATTTTTCCACATACAAAAAGTAGCATTTTCATAAAATTATTATTTAATTAAAATAATTATTTAACAAAACATTGTTATTTCTTTGTATTGTAATATGCATAAATACACACTCGTGACGCTTAAACCTTCGGCTGCGGCTTGAGTTTAAGATAAGGGAAACAATTTACTATACTCAGAGTGAGACTTACTCGTACTACACTTAAAGCGTGTTTCATATGCGGTTTTTGGTCAAGTCTCGCTCAATCCGTATCGTGTTTTGCTCACTGGCACAGTGAGCAAAACACTTTGAGAGTATGTATGTAACTCACTTTGTGAGTATGTACTTATTGTTTTCAATTGAGAGTATGTATGTAACTCACTTTGTGAGTATGTACTTATTGAAGTGAATCTATTCCGAAATTTTCAGAGGTTCCAAACATTAAACGGAAACTTTTTATTAAGTAATAACATATATTATAACGTCATTAGTAAATATAATTTGTCATCAATTCTCACAATGTTTTCCTTTATTGTAATTGTGTTTAATTGTTGACAAATGTAGTATAGGTTAATAGTTCTAAGATTAGATATCTAAATATAATTCCAGACGTTCGCATCATGTTGCTCAGTACTACGTAGCGTGTGGTCGACGACAGCGTCACCGCAATGTGTGTCGTGGTGGGCGCGTGCACTGGCCGGTCACGTCATCAGCCGGGCGGCCGCTGCTCGCAGACCCACTGATATGGAACATACGAGGGCGGCAATAGCTGCGCTCACGGCTCTTGATGAGCTAGTCAGCGCTTGCCCCGAACATGCACGTAAGTGTATAATTAGTTATCGAATTCTTAGTTTTTCGCGATTGTTACACATAGGAAATGAAACTAATTTTCCGGATTTAAATTGCGTATATTTGTTTTTTCAAACAAACCGACGGTTCGGGTCCTTTACAGGTCCCATGGTCACGGTTGACAGAGGTGGTACAGTCTTCGACCAGTTATGTCTAATATTGATGCAAACCACCCTATTTTTTCACTATAGTTACAATAGTTATTAATTCAATACCTTATTTTTAATTTTGCAAAGAAACATTCAAATTTACGCTACATTAAGTTTGGAAGCTACATTAAGTAAAAAAAAACGTCGGTTTGTTTGAAAAAACAACTATACGCGACTTAAATCCGGAAAAATAGTTTCATTTCCTATGTATAATTACTTCCCATTTTACTGTTTTACTGAATTTAATCTGTCGCAATGAGGATGCTCTCCAAGAAGTTGTGCACTTTATATGGAGGGTTGGAAGGAGGTAAGGTCGAGAGAATTTTGTGGAGTCTTAGACATCGTTACTGCGTTTGGTAATACCGTTCTGTTAAACTAAAGAGTTGTACTTGCTTCTAATTAAGGCGTGGTCTTTTCACCGTACTGGTTTTACACACATGTTTTCTTCTCATGCTGCCCTTATAGATAACGGTTACAGACGTAACTTTAAAGGTAAATTATATATTTTATTTGCACATGTCTACTATTTTATACGAGTGATAAAATTATACAAATGTTTTTTGTCTTAAGTTACACGTTTCCAGTCAGCGTCAAAATTAATCTTTCATGTGAGGACGCGTTCTCATTATGTCGCAACGTTTTTTTTATCGTTGGATGACTGTCGCGTCTAACCTGTTCTCATATCACGACTGACTGTGTCGTGGACGTTTATTTTATCGTAGAACGACTGTCGTTTGTAGCTGTTCCCAATAGAATGTGACGACAATTTATCGGTTCACGGCAGCCTCCTTGTCGTTTGTACGACTGTCTGTCGTCACGACATAATGGGAACGCGCCCTTAGTGAGTCTTCCATAATGTCCGCACGTTGTGGTCTAGTGTAAGGCAACACATTGCATTAAAAGTACTATTGTGTCTTTGTGTGTAAGTATATTTCTTGTTAGAGATACTTAAACAAGTAAATAATGCTTGCCGACATTTGTTTAATTAAAGAAGCAGTTATTAATAATTAAGACACAAGAAAACTGTTGTTGATTACACGTTTATTATAATAGGTATCCAAATGCTATGGATGCTGGTGCCTATAGTGATATCGTACCTGCGCGACAATAGCGAGCTGGCACGTGCACCTGCGTACGTCAAGGCGCTACACGAGTTTGCCCTGCAATGGCTCACCCGAATCGGGCCAAAGCACCCACAGGTAATAAATCATAGTCACAACAGTGAACATAAATATAATTTATTGATAAGCGAATAAAAAAGTATTCATTGATGAAATATATAAGTTTTTAATACAGAACCAGTACCACGTTTCGTTCCAATCTGCTTTGGGTTAGCTCTTAGAGGCGATGTGCTCTGAAGTGGGAAGATGTGGCTTGAGACTGAAATTGTTGTTCGATCATTCAGGAATTCAAGACTATAATGGCGCAGTCAGCAGAGCTGCGCAACAAACTGGAGAGCGCGGTGAAGGCTAGCCAGGCGAGCGCGAGACCGGTGCGCACGCAGCCCCAGAGACCCGTGTTCGACTGCCGTCCGGTCAAACCTACTATCCAGCTCAAGACCGACTTCAGTGATTTCAGATGAGCCTACCTCAGCCTTATTAATAGGTACACGTTTAGCATTAAAATCTTAAAAACAAATTGATATTGCTATATAAAAGTATTACTTTCGAAATTTTTACTTAGGCAAACTGATATGCTGCAAATTATTTAACGATTTATATTAAAATAGATTTTAAAAGGAGGCATTTTTATGTAGATATCGTAATTTAGAAAGAAACTTAGTGGCGTCTAGTTATGGCCCCTTTAGGAAAATTTTGATATAATAAAAATCTGGCTGTATAAGACGCTAAATAAATATTTGATATATTGGAAAACTATACTTCCCATATAAACCAGTGATAAAAAGTATAAACTTAAAATATACAATATTTATGGCATATGGAAAAAAACCAAATAGAATTGTATTTTGTCGAGTAAAGTTTTATCGAGTAGAATTGTATTTTGGGTAGCAATTTATATGTTAGTATACAGCTAGGCTATGTAAGGGATTTAATAGTGATTTGCATTATGCACGATATGTTCAAATTATAAAACGTTCGTCCTTACGCTACTGTTTCGCCTAGTCGTGTTTACTCTAATTCTAAAGTATATTTTCAAATATCACGATAAAAGTACCTGGGAAGAATGTGTATGGAAAGACGAAAATAGACTAAACCAAAAGAGTATGTCTGGTAGTAAATTGAATTCTCTAAATTCTAAATAACCCACTGGTTTACGCTAATGTCAACAATATCCTAATATCTTATTTGCTCCGTAAATTTACCGATTACAAAGTCAATGGATTTAATCAATAGATTTAATCCTATTCTTTCGTTTTTTGTCTGCCGTTATTGTACCTATTGTTTTTCTCAAGTATACTAAAAATGACAACCAATAGCGCTCACGACCCGCATAAAGGCAAAATAAAAAATATTTAAAACCTATGTAGTTCCGGTGCCGGCGGCAGCAAAACGCTATTGGAAGTCTAAACACATGACGGCGGATCCGTGTGTTTCTCATTTCTTTATTATTGAAGCTTTCTGTCTTTAAGAGTTATTTTACGAATAACAGACGTGATGCAAATTGTTGTAAAGTGATATACTTACGTAAAAATAACACAGATTAGAGACAATTATTTACAATTTTAAATATTAGTGAATAGAAAAGTATTGTTTAAAAAAAGTAAAGTGAATTTAGTATCTCAACGAAAGTGACGAGTAAATAGGTTAACAAATTCGTGTGCTGAAAAAGAAAATGTTGCTTCCCAATGAATCGGTCTCCGAATGAACCTGCACAATACGAGGGTCGTACTTAACGCTCTCAGCGCCACGTGAGCCGCCGGCGGCTCATAAATAATCAAGCGCAACAGGCCACTATCTTCAAATTTTAATAAATAAATACAGCTATTTCCACAGACGTATCATTTACGTGGAACCGAGTGCGTTTCTACACTCCGCCAAGCCTTAGAACAGAGCTAGTTTGCCATAATTTTTGTTGTCTTTATAAATCGCTATTCTGTCGGATGGTCGATGGTTTGTCTAATGTGTGGCCTAAGACTTTCTTCCTTTAGAAGTCGGGTTCGATTTTTTTCGTTTCTTTAGACAACACTGTACACTAACAGTGGTGCATAGAATTATGGTCCCTTGGTCGGTGGTATTGTAAGGAACACCCAAACCATGAAGAGTCCTTTAACCACGTTTGTCACAGAAATATCTTTCGGAGGTTGTGCCAGCGAGTGTGGAGGCCAACGAGTGAAACGGCCAGTTACTGTCAGGTAGTACTTATATTCTTCTGAAATCACAGTGGCCCAATTATCGATATGTCCGTGACTATAACCTGGACGTTTGAATTTACCGAGCGCTGCGGCTTTATGTCTTTGTACCTTGCTCCTTTGACAGGCTTCACGAGATCTAGCCCATTCTTGCAGCTTTGTTAAAGTATTTGCACCCGGGCGACTGTGGGTTGAGTTAATAAATACCTGTCGACGCAATTAAAGTTTATTTAATAAAATTTTCGACTTGCTACCAAATATGGGTACTTCTTCTGTATTTAAAAATGAATACCCGTCGAGGATGCCCTTCAGCTCTCCGTCAACCAGCTGGGCTTTGCTCCGCGTCTCAACTTTTATGATACCAAGTGAAGGGAAGAGCAAGTCGTGAGCCTGATGGTAAGCGACACGCTTCTCCATAACAGTTGCAGTGTCGCCGCTCAGAGCTTTAAATTGCAAAGATCTGAGGGGCACTGCCACTGCGCCTGTCACTTTGAGACATAAGTTGAAAAGTCCCAAGAACCTGTAATTTCATCAGCACCTTCCAAAACCGAAACGTAATAATGCTCACAATACTGTTCGGCGGCAGAAATAGTTAAGATAGCAGTACTTCCCTGGACGATTTGTGGTCAGTAAGTATGGTAAAATATTTACCCTGAACCATGTACCTGTAATGTATCAAGCTTTTTTTTGTATCGCTAGCAGCTCCCGGGTCGTAGTTGCTGTACATCGGTTGGGGTTAGTTAAGTTTTTTTAGAAAATAATTCAAATGACTGTCACTTACATCTCGAATCTGGCAGTAATTCAGTTATCCTTAAAATCTGAGCCCCTAGCATGTTTTTCCAGATTTTTGATGATATTATTCAAACATGGTTTAAGCCCTAGCTTAATTATGATCACTTCCTTTAAATCGACTTCTTCTATGGTGGCTAAGGTATATGTGACATCAACTGTTTTAATTTGGCAATATGCAGTTGGACTTACGAAATCGGTAAACGCTCCAAGATTAACGTTAACAGTGTTACACCACGCGCGGGTAATCACACCCGCTCTGTCGCTAAAGAGTTATGTACTGACTGCCGCACTAATGCTTCCGTTATCTCCTAGGTGATGTCGATGTAACAATATTCGACCGTTACAGTCAAATCTTCAACCTTTTTTCGCTTTACTGTTGCGTTTTACGATCGATAATATAATTGTAAATAACGCAAGGGTTGCGATGATTTAAGAGTAATTCCAAGCGCGCGTAAAATATTCTAGAAAACTCACCACTTGACTGCAAGCGCGCTTTCCCCAAACACAGTTCTCGCTGATAATTCAAAATACCGTCGAACACTCGAACACGTGTATCTTGTAACAATAACATTTTCACATTATTATTTAACGACCTCCGTAGTCGAGTAACTTGCACACCGGTTTTCATGGTGTCGTTGCTATCTTTGGTATCCTGTATTCGATACTCGACTGGATCAATGTAGAAAACTACCTAAATTTGTTGTCTCTGGTCTGAGTATTTGTGGTACTTTGGAATCGGAGTAATGTACGTGATGTTGTCTAATATTTATTTATTATTATTTATTTAATCACATAACACAATAATAAGTTTATATAATTATACAATATAATGTATACTCCATAGGCATTGACATCTCTGCTTTATCAATAGTGCTCATACAACAAGTCAGCAAAACGCAAACCTGTGTTACCACAGACAAAACCAAACGTTTTCTGACGTTTTGTGTGATTTTCGACGGATACCATTAAGCATAAATGACAAGGCATCCCTCACCGACTGGTCCTCTTTTCAAATTGTGATTATATAAAAACAATTGGAAAAAAAAAAACATATTTTCACATGAAAAATATGCTTGGAAATGCATTTTTGCACGAGAACTCAAATTTTTTGTTCAATTATATTTTTTTATAATTACCAGCTAAAATGAAGATTTTTCGGTCAGGAACCAATCTATATAGGGTGATTTTTATTTTCAGGATCAATTTTTGCGAGTACAGTTGGGTCTATAAAGTGATAATTGTTTGTTTTGATGACAATGGCATCTTAAAATAATTGGTTCCATGAATAAATACATCCTGTATCCAGTATAATATTTTTGGTACAAGAAATATACCCGTAAAATAAGGGAATCATATTAAGGGAATCATGTAGTATGCGCCTAAAAGAAGAAAAAATGGAGTTTAACGATAAGAGATAAAAATCGTGATGTCCACGTCACTGCCTACTTTTTATTGTTTGTTTGGCTAAGACACGTGTTAGAAGTTCGTAATATAATTTACTATATATACCTACGAACACCTCACTTTACACTTACAAAGAAATTAAAGTTAAAGTAAATTTTATGCAATACTTTATTATAGCTTAATACACGAAAGCAATATTACAATTCAAATTTACTTAAATTTAAGCCTATTTAGAAATATTTTTGTACACAAATATATAGAGGAACTTTTTGCCGTTTTAATACATTTGATTAATATTATAAATTGCACCTGATTATAGTGATGTTCAAGTTATCATATAATGCGCACATTTACATTTTTGTGCATTCACAGTCATTTTCATGATGTGCTTTATTAGTCAGCACATACACGACCGAAATATCTGTAGCACTCGGCTAGCGACAACAGAAGGTCGTTACCGACAAATGTCGCTGTAAAAGAGGCACCGTTGTCACAGCAATAATACCTTAAGCGTCATTTCTTGTGGTTTTGTTTCAAAGATTGCCTATTTGAAATAATAATATTACATATTTTTATGTTGATCATATCAACACTTGCAGAGTGTAATTTTTAAACAAGTCTACAGACATGTCGGTAGGGTTACGTAGTGTTCGAAGTGCCCTTTATGAAACGTAAATGTGTGTCGATTATCGTACACAAAACAAGTTTTTGAGAGCAGTAAATAATATTTACACAAATATAATGTACCTAATTAATGTATATTTTAAGCCTTTCCGCTATCACTTTATATTATATTCTGCTTAAATTAATTGTCTGTAATATAGATTAATATTAGAATTGACATTATGTTTAACTAATCTAAACCTATGAATTGTGAAAACCTCATAGAACATTAGATTCGGACCAGCGTAAGCGGTAGATAGCATATTTTTTATTGTGTGTTGAATGCGATTGTATAGAAACTTGTTGTTATGTGAATAAAATTAAATTTCGTATTAAATTTGAATAGCGGCGGAACAATACCTGTGAATGATAATATCAACTATTATTGCCATTGCCGTATAGATTATGCAAACATTCACTTAACGTCAGCTTATGCCTTAACACTAACGTAACCATGATTATAATAAAACTTTAAAGGCAGACTCTTGTAAGCAAGGCCGCAGTGTTGATTATGATATTTCCAATGTAAGCTGACACACAACATTTTTAGTTTTAGCAAAATAAAATTTGAGAAGATCTGTTTATAATGGTAGTGTATAGTCCGTCGTGTGGTCGTATTGACCTCTGTTGTTTACTTTGCTACTTATAGTCTTGATCTTTTTTGAAGATGGAGTAAAATGACATTTGCAAGGTTGCCCGTTAATATTTAATATAAAATTTTAAATAGAAATATAGTTTTTGTCGACAGTTTTATAGATAAATTGTGAATGAAGGCAAAATTTTGCCAAAAATTACTGAATTGTGAAACTTCTTTTTTCCCATTTTGACAGTTGCTTTATAAATATTGAAAATAATATTTATTCAATAACTGCCTCCGTGGCCGAACGGTTACAATGCCAAACTGCCACGCAGAGGTCCCAGATTCGATTACCAGTCCGGGAGAAACGGGAAACATTAGTTTGGCATAAATTAATATGGCCTACATTTATTTCACTAGTGAGATTGGGTATATGTAGTTGGCTATGCGTATGTCCATGGCACCCCCGACACAGGGTTTCCCTAGTACGGGGCTATGTTGAGTGTATTAAATACTGAACAGCTGGATTTGATTATCTATATTCAAATAAAATGAAAATGTTTGAAATATGTCTCCTCTTTATATTTTTAATAGACACAGTTCTAAATGCAGTGTATGTATGTATGAACTTACGAAAATTGAGAATTCAGAAGAACCTGTGCCCAACAGGTGGACGAATAATGGGCTAATGATGATTTAAATGACATAAGTTCGGCTATTTACTGCACAAACATAACCAACGTTCGTACGATAGTCGATATACTAGTTATCGACTGTAATCACTAGCTGCTTGCAAGCGGATCACACTTTTGCGCGACATATTATAATTTTACTCCATCTTCAAAAAATATAGACTGTAGGTCCTATAAGTTAAATTGTACGCCACTTTTTCTGTTGCTCAGGGCCTCCTTGGGTATGTGTCCAGCAGAGTGACCATGCCTAATGAAGGCTTTTGAAGGTGGTAATCAAAAGAAAGAGAGAGCTTTGTTTCCTTTTCACTCAATCGTGCTATTAAGTTAATCAGTGGCAAAATCGAAATTTACTTGTTACAAGAGATATCCGTCGGCAGAGTTGACGATGGAGTAACAGAAACGAAGTAAAAAAACAGTGTACCCACCTCTTGCCGGGCTCTACTTAAGATCAACAACAACAACAACAACAACAACGACAATCTAGCTACTGGTACGGTAGGCGTCACCTGAAGGTCTACAATCTGTCAAAATTCGTAGCTGAAAATTGTACCTCAAATGATTTACTAAGTGTTCAAATTAGCAGTCAAAGCAATGAGTACAACTCAAACTATATAGAAGACCATTGCATAAACAACACTGATGACTTCGTAAACCACCCCAGTAACATAATGTACTATATCTTCTTGTTTCTAGTTTGCAGATTAGAATATATAAATATCATAATAGGTGATTTAGGCCTAGGATATTAGGATATGTCAGGGATAATAGCTTCTATATTGTCTCATGAATTTCTCACTAAAGCAATAACTCTTATCATATTGTGATATTTTGACATCCGATATTGGAATAATGAAATTAGTTACTAATGTGATTATTATGTATACATTTGCAAATTAATAAAAACATGAGTGCGCCAATGTTGTAATATAAGGTTATACGTATGTTGTGCATGTTATTTATGCTCTCAATGAAACCCCGACCATTGACTGATAATATACAATAGTTATTGTCTCAAATGGTTTTTTTGAAATGGAAGTTACGATGGAAGCTGGGCGTACATAAACGTGGAATATTAGTCTGTACTAATATATATGTGTGTGAGAACGTAAGTCCTCAAGTGAAAGAATGAAAAAGTACGACGGGCAAACTTATTGATTGTATTATGCGTTTATTTGACAAGAATTTTGTATAGCGTACGTGCTGAATTTTTTTAAACATATTTATGGTTATTTTTTTGGTTATTAATAGTTTAACCAGTAAGTATGTTCTGCCTTTACCGTCACTATATTTAGCATATCTAAGTATGCATTCGCTTTTGTGTCTGTGCTTATACTATTTAT